AGACATGAAGAAGCTGCCACACGGGATGTTATTATAAGGTACCCATGAATTCGGGAATAGACCTGAAAGAGGAAGCAAGCTCATATCAACACCTTCGGTGGGGCTTAGGATTTAGGATTTACGGTTTAGGGTCTAAACCCGAAACCCTAAACCGTAAACCCTAAGCCCCAAAGCCCTGAAAGACTGGGACCGTCCACAGAACAGCTCCCCAATTGAAGTTTGTGCCCCCAATGCCGCGCGAAGGCATCCCAAACCATAGGCCCTAGGCACTAAACCCCGACACCCAAAGCCCTCCCGTCCTCCCCCCCGCCCCCCCCGACAAAAAAAGAAGAACCCTACACCCTAAACCCTAATAGTAATAGTAATAGAAACCGCAGCAATAGCAATAGCAACAGCAACAGCAATAGCAACAGCAACAGCAATAGCACTAGCAATTAGAATTAGCAATAGTAGTAGTATTAGCAATAGTATTAGTAATAGTATTAGTAATAGTATTAGAATTAGTAATAGTATTAGTATTAGTATTCGTAATAGTATTCGTATTAGTAATAGTAACAGTAAAGTTAAAGTTGCGGCCTCGGCGTGAGCGGCGCTGGAATGGGGCGCCTTTCAAGACCCTCAACCCGAACGCCCCCTGCGCCCCGAGGGTTCATCTAATCCCAGGAGATAGGGTTTAGGGTTTAGGGTTTAGGGTTTAGGGTTTAGGGTTTAGGGTTTTAAACACAAATAAACCACTAAACCCTCCGAGCCTTAAACCCGGACGCTCAGATGCCGAATCAAAGCAAAGAATCTCAAAGGGCCTAGCGAACAAACGGTAGGCCCTGAACTCCCAACAAGCCCTTCAACCGTTGGACCCTAAACCCTGAACCCTAAACGTTTGGACCCTAAATCCTGAATCCCTGAACCCTTGAAACTCTGAAACCCTAAGTGCCTAAGCCCCTGGATCCCAAGACTTCTGTGTGTGACACGGGTTGGAAGGATTTTACCTTATGAACGGTACATGTGTGTTTAGGGTTTGGAGCTTAGGGGGGGAGGATTCGGGGTATTCTCTGCCTCTTCGGGGGCTGAGACTTCTTTGAGAATCCAGGGATGCAGGGAGGGGTTTCGAGAGCGCCAGGCACTGGAACGTTCTAGCAGATAGCAGGTTTAGGGTTTAGGGTTCAAGATGCCCATAAACCCAGAACCCTAAACCCTAAACCCTAAGCCCTAAACCCTAACTAAGCCGTAAACCCTAAACCCTAAACCCTAAACCCTAAACCCTAAACCCTAAACCCTAAACCCCAAACCCCAAACCTCAAACCCCGAACCCTGCCCCAGGAGCGGGCGCCTCCGCACATGTTTGATCGAGGAGCGCGGACCCTGCCATCTTAGGGTTTAGGGTTTGGGGTTTGGAGTTTAGGGTTTGGGGTTTAGGGTTTGGGGTTTAGGGTAAGGCTACATGTATATCCCCTGAAAAACCCTATACAAAGTAAGGGCCCATACATCAGAACCCTGTCAAGGAGGTCAGGGGCCATATCTTGGCCCATTGAAACCCTTAGATGATAGCCTTACAGGATGGGGGTTCAATGGGCTTAGGGTTGCGGGCTTGAGGTTTAGGGTTCGAAGTGTTGGGGTTTAGGGTTTAGGGTTTGGGGTTTAGGGTTTAGGGTTTAGGGTTCAGGGTTCAGGGTTTAGGGTTTAGAGTGTTAGGGTTTAGAGTGCTAGGGTGTAGGGTTCAGGGATTGGGGCTCAGAGTTTCGGCTGCTGGCCATGAGTGGCCAAGCAGGCCCGAATTGCCCAAGGCCTACGCCCTAAGCCCTAAACGTTGAGAGCATGCCTCAAGCCAGCCTAAACCCTAAACCCTAAACCCTAAACCCTAAACCCTAAACCCTAAACCTGGTAGCCCAGGTTAACCAGATTATGACAAGGGTACCCTTTTTGGGTTTGGTTGCTTTGGAAGGGAACCTTGAGCCACAAAGAGAACTGAAAGGGTACCACTGGGGTTGGTAGCTACGTAAACCCTGACATGTAAAGACGTACTGCTGGTTAGTAGGGAATGAGGGAATGAGGTACCCTACATAATCCCTGAAAGGGCCTTGAACCCTGAACCCTGAACCCTGAACCCTGAACCCTAAACCCTAAACCCTAAACCCTAAACCCTAAACCCACGGAAGGGGATATAGGGTACCTAATTCCCTCATTCCCTACTACCAAACAATAATGTAGAGAGTCAAGCCCTGCACATGCTGACACTCCAAAGGCCTCTCAAGGATGCCCCCCCGAAACCCCGAAGCCTTGAGCCCTAAACCCTAAACCCTAAACCCTAAACCCTAAACCCTAAACCCTAAACCCTAAACCCTAAACCCTAAACCCTAAACCCTAAACCCTAAACCCTAAACCCTAAACCCTAAACCCTAAACCCTAAACCCTAAACCCTAAACCCACAGCGACCGACATGGCGCCTTAGGGAATTCGATTTCCTCAGGGGGTCGTAGATGGATCAGAAAACCCGAGACTCTAAAAATGCGCAAAAGGCCCCAACAATCTAAAGCCCTGCTCTGTTTAACCTGAAAGACGCAGAGGGTAGAGCTTCGGGTTTGAGGTTTAAGGGTTCTAGGGTTTCGGCCTTAGGTTTCAAGGCTTTTGGAGTGGTAGGGTTAGGCTTGCAGTTGTCGTTTGCGTTCAGCCCATTCGGAACAATCCGCCCCCCTGAAGTACTCGTAGTGGTTCTCGTGGTACCAAAGCAAAGGAAGAGGCCAGCGTCAGCAACGCCAGCATTGATGTGGTGGACTTGACCCGAGGGGCCTCCCACCCATGCTTCCAATTCTTGATCGGTGCAGAACCCATGCTTCCAATTCTTGATCGGTGCAGAAGGCCAAGAACTCGAGCGTGGCCAGCCCAAGACCCAGTCTGAGAAACCTCGTCGATAAAGGAGTCGAAGCGCTTTTTGCATGCGGCCCTGGGCGTCAGGCCTACCCTGGCCAAACCAATACTCAGCAGAAGTCCCGCGCTTGTCCTTGAGGATGGAAAGAGCCGTGGGTCTGTAGGGGTCATCGTGATTCGAACGGTTGCGTTTGGTATGTTCGTTCTCTAGGTTGCCCAGTAACCTAGGATGAAAAAGGGTGCCCTTTTTTTGCTTAAAGGGGTTTATAAGGGAACCTGGGAACCCTAAACCCTAAACCTACCAAAAAGGGAACAAGGGTACTACTGGGCATCCTAGCTCTTGTTTGCAGAGGGATTAGGAGGGGACGGTTCGGGTAGCTCGAAACCCGAAGCACCAAAAACCCTAAACCTGAAGTTCGCTCGCTAGTATGTCTTGGAAGCCCCAGTCGCCGTAGTCCCTAAACTTTAAACCCTAAACCCTAAACCCTAAACCCTAAACCCTTAGCCCTAAACCCTAAACCCTTTGCGGGGGCCTGCTTGCCGGCCACGCCGGCGCAGGAGGCGCAGGAACGAGCGTCGGGATGCGAAGCATTTTGGATGACAGGTATGCGCACATGCAGTCACTCATGAACGTCTCTATATATCGATCTCTATATATCTGTATCTCAATATCTATCTGTCTATCTATCTATCTATACATCCATACATCTATATAAAAATATATCTATATATCTATATATCTATATATCTATATATCTATATATCTATATATCTATATATCTATATATCTATATATCTATATATCTATATCTATATATATATATATATACACAGTACTTGCAGAGCCGAAGTAATGAACAACACAAGCTTTCAAAAGTGGTCTTTCCGGAAAGTCACTGCATTGGCTGGAGATGTACCTGGTGCAGACGACAAGAATGAGACCCCTTTTTTGAGGTTTGAGTGCTGGAATCTTGAAGAAGCCATGGCTGCGGACGCCGACTCGACTAGGAAGCAGCATTCTGCGGTTTAGGGTTCAGGGTTTAGGGTTCAGGGCATACCATGGTTTTTTGTTCGTAGTACCGGTACGCGCTGCGGCGGCACAACAACGAACTTGATGGAAGCCACTAGCTGCTACTTCATGGCCTGGGCCGTCATCTGAATCGCCTAAACCCTAAAGCCTAAACCTCAAACACTAAACTCTAAACCCCAAACACAAAACCCTAAACCGCAAACCCCCAAACCCTAAACCCTAAACCCCAAACCAGAAAGCCCAAACCCTAAACCCTAAACCCCAAACCCCAAAGCCCAAACACCAAACCCTAAACCGCAAACCCCCAAACCCTAAACCCCAAACCCCAAAGCCCAAACCGTAAACCCTAAACCCCAAACCCCAAAGCCCAAACCCTAAACCCTAAACCGCAAACCCCCAAACCTAAACCCTAAACCCCAAACCCCAAAGCCCAAACCCTAAACCCCAAACCCTAAAGCCCAAACCCTAAACCCTAAACCCCAACCCTAAAGCCCAAACCCTAAACCCCAAACCCTAAAGCCCAAACCCTAAACCCTAAACCCCAAACCCCAAACCCGAAACCCTGAACCCTAAACCCTGGTTCTGATGATGCCGGCGCCACTATCTGAGTGCTCGGAAGCTTCCACCCCTGAAGCCGTAAACCCTGAAGCCAAGTCTAGGATTTAGGGTTTAGGGTTTAAGGTTAGGGTTTAGGGTATAGGGTTTAGGGTTGAGGGTTGAGGGTTGAGGGTTCAGGGTTGAGGGTTCAGGGTTTAGGGTCTCGGGCCAAGACTAGGGTTTACGGTAAGGCTTACATCCATAAAGCCCGAAAACCCTAGACCCTTAAACCCCCCAAACCCTCCATAAATCCTATAAAAATCCGATGGAAGCCCGGTGAACCCCCAACACCCTTAAGCCCTTACACCTAAACCCAAAACCCTAAACCTCAAAAGTACTAAACCCTAAACCCTAAACCCTAAACCCTAAACCCTAAACCCTAAACCCTAAACCCTAAACCCTAAACCCTAAACCCTAAACCCTAAACCCTAAACCCTAAACCCCCAAAACCCTAAACCCTGAACCCTAAACCCCAAAAAGCCCTCTTAGAAACTTCACAAGGCCGGGTTGCGCAGGGGCGTCGCTCGGCGGAGTGGGAAGGCCACTTCCATGTCAGCTCTCTGATCTAAGCTTTGGGAGGTTTAGGGTTTGGGAGGTTTAGGGTTTAGGGTTTAGGGTTTAGGGTTTAGGGTTTCGGGTTTCGGGTTTAGGGTGCAGGGTTTGGGGCCCTGAAGTTTAGGGCTTGGAATTTTTGGGGGTTGGTTTGATCGGTGGCCCTGTTCCGAGGATGAGGAACCCTAGATTGGAAGTACCTTTGAGGGTTGCATGTTCTCGTTTTGGGGATTCCAGATGTTGGGAGGAGCCGAGAATGAGATTCCAGCGTTCATGGTTTAGGGGAGTGCCGGTGATGTAGATAACTGGCCATGTGGGGGGGGGGGGGGTTTAGGGTTTAGGGCTTAGGATTTGATCTCAGTGTGCGGGGTGCCCCCTGTTTTTTTTTTATCACGGATCTCCTTCTCTTTTTCTGGGCGAAATCTTGTCCAGCTTCACAGGGGAAGTCAAGATGAACATATGCGGGCGCGCTAAACCGTGCAATGTTTCTCTATTCAAAATCTTCTTTCTCATGTTGAACATGCACAAGGACCTAACATGTAGAACAACTCTCCAGCCCCCCACCCAACCGCAGTACAACGGTGCTGACGCACAACGGCGGAGGCCTTGAGCAGTGCGGGGAGCAAGGTGCAGGGTTTCCAGGTGTCGTGTTTAGGGTTTAATCCCTAAACCCCCAACCCTAAACCCTAAACCCTAAACCCTAAACCCTAAACCCTAAACCCTAAACCCTAGACACTAAACCCTAAACCCTAAACCCTAAACGCAAGATCAGGCTTAGAGTGTGAGACTTCGGGTTCTGAGGGGCTTGGACGCTTTGCAGGAGGGCTGGAGGCCCTAAATCCTGAAAAACCTGTTGGTTTAGGGCTTACGGCTTGGGGCTTCGGGTTTAGGGTTTAGGCAGGTATGCATTCAGAAGGCAAACCAAGAAAGCGCACTTGAAGGTTCTTGCTTTTTATAGCTTAGGGCTTTTGCGGCTTCGGGATGCAGAGTAGGGTAATTTGTCGGATAACTGAAATGTCCCCCGAAACCCTAAACCCTAAACCCTAAACCCTAAACCCTAAACTACCCTGGGCTCATAAGACCTGCAGACCTCTTACAATGGCCCCCAAGCTGCAGTAGCCATGCTTAAATGTTCCGTTGCGTTGATTGAGAAACCCGGAGCCCTAAGTTGAGTCTCCTAAACCCTAAATCCAAACCAAGCAACCCTAAACTCCTAAACCCTAAAACCCTAAACGCAGAATGCCTAAACCCTGAACCCTAAACGAACCCCTAAACCCTAAGTCACTGTGGAAGCGGGGGGCCTGCAGATGCTGCATCCAGGTGAAGAACGCCAGGGAGTCAACGCGGGGACCTCCTGTTCTAGGTCTGTGCAGCTACTAGGGTTGAGGGTTCAGGGTTTCATGGTTTCCGGGTTTAGGGTTTAGGATTTGGAGTTTAGGGTTTGGGATTAAGGGGTTTGGCATCTAATGTTCTAACTTTTTCTTGTCAAGAACATGCAAAGTAACAGATGAGTACCTCTCCATAGGCCAACGTTTTCATCCCCAATCGCTCCCAAAAATCCACTTGTTTGAAGGCCTTTGGCACGTCTTTGCCCTGAAGCCTAAACCCTAAACCCTAAACCCTAAACCCTAAACCCTAAACCCTTAACCCTAAACCCAAAACCCTAGACCCCTTTACGCCTTCGCACGCCGCGCGCGGGCCGCAGCTCCCGAGGTCGACGGTGAGAGGGTTCAGCTTGCGACACCTGGCGCGTAGGGTTTAGGGTTTAGGGTTTAGGGTTTAGGGTTTAGGGTTTAGGGTTTAGGGTTTAGGGTTTAGGGTTTAGGGTTTAGGGTTCAGGGTTCAGGGTTCAGGGTTTAGGGTTTGGGGTCTAGGGTTCAGGGTTGAGGGTGCTTAGGGGTTTTGGCACGTCACGCACCAGCAGCTGGCACAAACAGGATGCAAATGGGGATCCAAATTCCTATAAACCATGAACCCTAAACCCTAAACCCTAAACCCTAAACCCTCTAAACCATGAACGCCGAAATCCCAGAAGTCGAACTCCACACCCCTGAGCTGCTCGGGTTAAGGGTTTGGGGTTTGGGGCTTTGGGAGTTCGGCAGATGGCAACTACAGTTTTATGGGCTATCGGGGGCTATATGCCCTAAACCTTATACCCTAAACCCTAAACCCTAAACCCTAAACCCTAAACCCTAAACCCTGGATATATCTTACCGTGCGCGGACCTGGCAAAACCGCAGGTGAGCTGCATGTACCTTGCAACGGGCTTGCGTTTAGGGTTTAGGGTTTAGGGTTTAGGGTTTAGGGTTTAGGGTTTAGGGTTTAGGGTTTTAGGGTTTTAGGGTTCAGGGCCACCAGCAAGCCTTAAGTAAGGATTGTAGCACCCCCGACTCTCCTGCTAGGTTTCCGGCGTTGGTGGCTTGTGGCAGTCAGTTCGTGGCCCGAAGGCGGTAATTTTGGAAAGACTCACAGGCGCAAGTACTCGAAACTTCCAAAGCACAAGAGAACTGGACCCTGAACTGTAAGGGTTTAGGGTTTAGGGTTTAGGGTTTTGGGTCTAAACCCGAAACTGCTTGACCAAACACTACGTCGTGTACATAAACGCTAGAATTATTCAACGTACTCCGTGGGCATACCCTTAAAAGAAATTGAAGGGGTATGGTAAACCCGTAAAGTCCTTCCTTATATTCTCCTTTTATGGGTTAAGGGGTATGGGCTTTGGGTATGTTGAATTGCTCTTAAATAAACCTGTTGTAAATCTCGTTGAAGGGTCCAAGGGTAGTTGCATGGTCCCTTAGTATGGGCCCCTGGAGACCCCGTTTCTACCCGTAAAACCCCAGGGCCCTAAAACCTAAACGGTACACCCCAAACCCTAGACTACCCTAAACCCTACACCCGAACCCTAGACCCTGAACCCTAAACCCTAACCCCTAAATCCTAAATCCTAAACCCTAAACCCTAAGACCCTAAGACCCTAAAACCCTAAAACCCTAAAACCCTAAAACCCTAAAACCCTAAACCCTAACACCCTAAAACCCTAAACCCTAAAACCCTAAGCCATAAACCCTAAACCCTAAACCCTAAACCCTAAACCCTAAACCCTAAACCCTAAACCCTAAACCCTAAACCCTAGCTAGACCCCTAAAGGGCCTCAACCGCCCTTTTTGAAGTTTGACGCCGGGCGGCTGGCTGTGGGCATCTTTCAGCTTGGTTGCCAAGCGACTCTCTGGCCAGATCCCTTCGGTCCTGACGGAGGGTTTAGGGTTTAGGGTTTAGGGTTTAGGGTTTCGGGTTTCGGGCTCAGGGTTTAGGGATTAGGGCTTAGGGTATTTAAAGGTTCAGGGGGTGTGGGGTTTCACCTGCACGAGGCCCTCAACCCTAAATGCTAGGCCCTCAATCCCTAAAACCCTAAACATCTCCTCCACATCATATATCTATATATATATATACATATATACAAATAAACAAATAAATAGACAAGTAAATAAATGAAAATAATTACAAATGCAAATACAAATACATAAATATAAATATAATTACAAATACATAAATATAAATATAAATATGAATATAAATGTATATATATATATATGAAGATCAATATAAAATACAAATACAAATATAACTATAAATATGAATATGAATATAAATATAAATAAAAATACAAATATAAATGTAAACATGAAACACACACACGCATATAGACATATAGACATACATATAAATAAATAAATATAAATATACATATGTATTCATGTGCATAAATGCATAATTACATACGTATATGTATATATGTATGTATGTGTATGCTATACGAGAGAGAGAGAGAGAGAGAGAGAGAGAGAGACGCTTGCAAGTAACAGGTCGCATTGATGAAGTCAACACCGTATACCGTGCGGGTGGAAACGTTGTCATACGTCCAAGCACCGGCAACTAACGCCGTATCAATTTGAACATACATAGAAGCGTTCGTGGCAGGGGCGTGTGCTGGGTTCTCTCTCTCACGTCGGCAATGATCAAGGGATGGAACTGGTGAGTTCCCGTTGAAGACCACGATCACATGTCTGTCAAACTGCGGGGTGAGGATCGACTCCAGAAAGGCAGGGACGATGGCCCTGTTTGGCAACTTGTGTGTTGCCGCAGCTGGCCAGCCAGCCGGCGGTGTAAATGCCAGGACCTTCTTGGCAACATATCGTGAGCGAGATCAAGCAGCCGTGTAAACACGAGCAGTCATGGCCGTGGCGAATTCTGGAATTCTCTACAAGTAGAGTGCCAGTGTTAAGCCGCGTGATGCACCCAATGCTTGGCGGGTAAACTGGAAGGTGTTCCTGAGACCTGCCAAGTAATTGGCTCTCCCATGGTCAATCAAGTACGGGACCAAAGGCCATCCAACATTTCCCGGGCATGATCCAAGCTTTCCTGACAGTTGTCTCAATGTTCGTGGGAAGCAGGTATTGTCTAGATTATCGCGGGCATTGTCCAATTTTTCTTGGGCATCTATCCAAACTGTCAGTGGCATTATCACGGGTATTTTTAAGGCGCTACTGGGCTCTGTGTTTCGGGGCAAGGCCACTGGCTCTTGCGCTTTAGGGCTTTAGGGTTCAGGGAGCCTTCTGGGTCTGAGGCTGTTTGAAGAGGATGTAGGCGGGCGTGAGAACTCTAGTTTTCTAATGTCGTGGCCGAACAAGCTGCTTGACTAGTGAATGCTTTGACATGCGATGCTGAACCCTAAACCCTAAACCCTAAACCCTAAACCCTAAACCCTAAACCCTAAACCCTAAACCCTAAACCCTAAACCCTAAATCCTCCTAACCTGGGACTCGACCTTGGACCCAAAAGGTTGTAGCTTGGGTTTGGGGACCCTTTCTAAAGATCCTCGAAGGGATGAAGGGAACCTCTTGGTACATCCTTAGGGATCCAAGTTTGACTGCCTTGATGAACCCCAAACCCGAAAACCCGAAAACCCGAAAACCCAAAAACCCAAAAACCCTAAAACCCTAAAACCCTGAAATCCTAAAACCCCGAGGATCCTGTAGCGCACGCAGCCTTCGAACACCCAGTGGCTCGCTGCCGCCTTGGGGCATGTGGTGCATCGTGTTCACCGTAAGGTTTTAAGCTCAGGTTTAAGGTGGCTTTTGGTTTAGGGTTTGGGGTTTAGGGTTTAGGGCTTAGGGTTTACGGCCTAAGGCCCGCAAGCCTTTGACCACACAAGACCCTGAACCCTAAGCCTGCACACCCGGAACCCGAAATGGCCGCGTGGAATTTGAGTTTTCGGTTCTGAGTTCTGAGTACCTCTATGAGATTCTACTTGGAGGCTCTTCTGACTTAGCAAGTCCACTTAGTATCCCTATAGAAACCCATTCTAATCCCATAGCCCACCTTTCCCAACCCTACTTACTAAGTCAAGAAGGGCTTCCAAGTAGAGGATAAGGGGCTCAGAGGGTTCATTTTCCGAGGTTTAGTTTTTGACTAAACAGCCTAAGAGAAAAAGCGGGTGCCAGATTTTGCCTGAAGACCTAGTTGCTGAGTGCCCTGGGCCAAAAAAAGTTAACCTTTCAACTATGGTAGCGTTATATCTGCCCCAAAAGGTTAAAGGTTACCTACTCAGCTACTAAGAAGAGGTCTATGTGGGATCCTAGCCCTACATGTAAGTGAGCGTGACGGCACTGGCGAGGGTTGTAGAAGGTTATGGCATAAGCGCGGCGTAAGGGTTTGAGGTTTATAAGGCTTACGCTTCAGATTTAGGGTTTAAGATCAAATTGAGGTGTTGGGTTTTGGCCCTAAAACTTAAACCTTAACCCCTAAACCCTACACCCTAAACCCTAAACCCTACACTCGAAACCCTACACACTTTGGGTTTCAATTTTCAAGGCGTAGCTGTAAGCAGCTTGGTGGGCTCTGTGGTTTGGGACCTACCATGGGCTTGATCGGGAATGGAGTTCCCTAGCCCTTTACATGGGTAGTTCTCTGGTTTAGGGTTTAGGGTTTAGGGAGATCCCCTTTAAAGGGTGCCGCCTTATACTGGGCACCCAAAAAGGGACCCTAATTTAGGAAACTACCCACATGGGGGTTCACGACATTCGGGTTGGGGTGCTTATTATATGGGGATCCTACTCTTTGGGGTCTATATTAGCGGTTTAGGGTTTAGGGTTTAGGGTTTAGGGTTTAGGGTTTAGGGTTTAGGGCTTAATATCGTAAACCCTCCACAGTATCACAAACTGACTTTGAGCCCCTCTTTCCCAAGGCATCGCTGGTCACTTCAAGCGCTGAGCCTATACCCTAAACCCTAAACCCTAAACCCTAAACCCTAAACCCTAAACCCTAAAGTGAAAAGCCCGTCAACCTGCACAAGCTGGTGTAGGCTTGTGTGCACGGCAGGCTGGCAGATGTGAAAACGATGACGATGCGTTCTTAAGGCTGAAGCAGTGCTCTGGAAACCTGCTTCGGAACCCTAAACCCTAAACCCTAAACCCTAAACCCTAAACCCTAAACCCTAAAGCCTAGTTCGCAGCGGCGCGCATGATCTCCTTGAACTCCCTGATGTCGTGCTCCAGGTAGCTTAGGCCCTTTTTGTCCAGGTAGGCCACTTCAGCCGTTTGAGAAGCACCCAGGCCGCTGCGCTCTCGGACTTGCTCCCTCACCTCCGGGATCAAGAAAGGAAGGCTGCACGAGTTCCCCTCAAATAGTGCCCTATGCTACCATTGGGTCATTCACGGTTTAGGGTTTAGGGTTTAGGGTTTAGGGTTTAGGGTTTAGGGTTGAGGGTTTAGGGTTGAGGGATTTAAGCTTCTACTTTTTGGATCCCAAGGGCCCAGGGGCTCAGGGGTCTGGGCATTCGGGTTCCTCCGCCAAGCGGCCTTTGCGTCGGGCAGCTGGTGCCAGGCCATCTTTCCATGGCCTGCCAGGCTCTCCTTAGCTTTTTATCGATGACGCAGGGGAGAAAAAGGTACATGCTTGTTGGGCTACACTTAGCTAACATAGGGAACACAGAGCCCAAAAAAGTGAAAAAACACATGCTACTACATACTTTTGGGGCTACACTTGCCTAATAAAAGGGAACCCAGGACCCAAGAAAGAACCCTAAACCCAAAACCCTAAACCCTAAACCTAAACCCGAAACCCTACACCCTAAACCCTAAGCCCTAAACCGCATGCTACTGAACAGCCTAGTCTCAAAGTAGAACACGTGCAGTGTCTGATTCAGCTCCACGGCTTTGTCGACGTTCTTCCGCCACTCCTTGGTGAACGGGGTTTGGGGTTTAGGGTTTTGGGTTTTGGGTTAGGGTTAAGGGTTTAGGGTTTAGGGTGTAGGGTTTTGCGGCTTCGAAATTCAGCGTAGAATCTCGCTACCTTGCTATAGTCGCATGAGTAGGAGCTCCAACTTTCGGAATCTGTCCACCCCACCCCTATGACCCTTCCCCCCCTCCCCCTTCTACCTTATGATCTCTTCACAACCCCTCCAACAGCCTGGCGATATGCCAGCTCCTTGGAGGTTCATGGGTACTTGCCACCCCAATTGTAAGTCTACGTATAACCTACTTGGGGGACTTTATGGGGGCTTCTCTAAATCACAGTTTCTCTTTGTGTTATCAACCCTAAACCCTAAACCCTAAACCCTAAGCCCTAAACCCTAAACCCTAAACCCTAAGCCCTAAGCCCTAAACCCTAAACCCTAAACCCTAAGCCCTAAGCCCTAAACCCGAAACCCTACACCCTAAACCCTAAACCCTAAACCCTAAACCCTAAGCCCTAAACCCTAAACCCTAAACCCTAAGCCCTAAGCCCTAAACCCTAAACCCTAAGCCCTAACCCTAAACCCTAAACCCTAAGCCCTAAGCCCTAAACCCTAAACCCTAAACCCTAAACCCTAACCCCTAAACCCTAAACCCTAAACCCTAAAAAAACCAAGCCTGGGCTCCTCGAACCAGCGACAGCCCCAGGGAGCCCGCCCGCAGTTTGCCAGGCATCGGTCCTCCGCCCGATTCAGTGCTTCTGCGAGCTCCTGTTCCTCTTGTTTAGGGTTTAGGGTTTAGGGTTTAGGGTTTAGGGCTTAGGGCTTCGGGCCCTAGCCCAAAGCTAACCGTTTAAATGTAGTAGGGTTCTAGAGAACCAAAAAGGTTAAAGACTACCTACCCGGTCCGTAAGTCCTTGCCAGCCTCGTAACGGTTGGTTATTTTATACGGGAACGTAGTAATCATATTCTAAGAAGGGTGCCGTGTTTTCCTGGGGTTGGTTACTTTAAATCAGGGAACCTAGAACCAAAACAAGGGAAAAAGGGCACTAAACCCTAAACCCTAAACCCTAAACCCTAAACCCTAAACCCTAAACCCTAAACCCTAAACCCTAAACCCTAAACCCTAAACCCTAAACCCTAAGCCCTAAGCCCTAAACCCTAAACCCTAAACCCTCAACCGACAAAAAGGGACAAGGGGTGCCACTGAGCTACCAAAGGTTCCCAGTCCAACTCTCCTTGGTCTCGCTTTGTCAGGAGCAGCTGCCCCATGGCTTCGGCATCAGCCTTTCTAAACTCCAGGGCCTGCTGAAGATCCTGGGTTGCCAAAGGAAGCCGAAAGCCACCAAAAAAGGGGAATAAGGGCACTACTCAGTTTAGGGTTTTAGGGTTTAGGGTTTAGGGTTTTGGGTTTAGGGTTCAAGGTTTGGGGTTTAGGGTTTGGGGTCTAGGGTTTAGGGTTTGGGGTGTATGAGGGAACCTTAAACCCCCCCAAAAACGGGACTTAGCGCACTACTGGGCATCCTAGGATCACCTGCAACCTTGTAAACTCCAGGGCCTGATGAAGATCGCGTTTCAGGGTTTAGGGTTTAGGGTTTAGGGGTTAGGGTTTAGGGTTTAGGGTCAAAAAAGGAATAAAGCATCCCAGGATCGCCTGCAACCTCATGCTGTTGCTTCATCTGCTGCTCGTCGACGACGCTCAGGTAAGTGGATGCCGGCATTCTGCCGTAAAGCGCATGGCACCAGCCTATGCTGAACTTGGAACCCCAGCAGAAATTATGATTTTAGCTGTTTCTTCGGAATCTAAAGTACCCAAAGATTTAAAAAACACTATCTCCAAGTATCCCTAAGCAGCAACTCCCAGGATTGTCAGGATTGTCCGAATGCTGACCCAGGCCAGAGGCGCGGTCCGTGAGGAAGACGCATGCCAAGGAGAAAGCGTCTTGGGTGTTTGCAGCGGACACAGCTTCATCCCACTCTTCGCTGTACTTTCCGGGAAAAGACACGATGCAATCGCTGGACGCCACGTTCACCCGCCCAGGAAAGGCAATTCGCTTCGACAAAAACCCATAGCCGTTATAGTCGGCAAGCTTCTGGAATGCTTCCTAAGTTGTGCTTTAAACCCCTTGAAAACTATTCATGAACAGGTTCCCTTATAAGGAAAGATGGGAAACTAAAAAACTAAACCCTAAACCCTAAACCCTAAACCCTAAACCCTAAACCCTAAACCCTAAACCCTAAACCCTAAACCCTAAACCCTAAACCCTAAACCCTAAACGTATCCCGAAGCACAACCCAGCTTCCATTGGTTGTGCGAACTGCTGCGGGCCCACCATGCCGCTCAGCAGAAGCACGTTCACGACCTGGAGGCAGATGTCCAACGTCAGGAAGAGAACCTTAGTTTAAGAGTTCATACTAAGCCCCCCCCCCCCCCCCAAAAAAAAAAAAAAAAAAGAAAAAAAGAAAAAAAGTGGACACTTTCATTTCTATAGGGAATTATGGCATCCCTTTAAGTGTCCCAAAAATGTAAAGTGTGCTCATTCAGCTACTAAGGAACGTTGTTTGGGGTGTAGAGTGACATTGGGTCCCAGACCGAAAGAAGCACCATCAAAGCGTAGCCACTGAGAACTGGGCCCGGAATCAAAAGGGCAGCGTTGATGAGCAAACAGCCCGCCGTGGCCCGAACAACGGCATCATGCCACCCGAGGCAAATTGCCCGGCCTGCTGCATAAGGTTTAGGGTTTAGGGTTTAGGGTTTAGGGTTTAGGGTTTAGGGTTTAGGGTTTAGGGTTTAGGGTTTAGGGTTCAGGGTTTAGGGTTTAGGGCCTGCTGCATGGCTCAGGCCGTAGAATTGCAGGAGCAAGACTGCTGCAAGGCTCGGGAAAAACACCCAGTTCTCGATGGTGGTTTTTTCAACAGGCAACAATTCAGCGGCCGCTGCGCACAAAGCCACGAGGAGGAAGACCTTGCTAAGATTTGCAGTGATTCGGTAGCCCAGGGCCCGTAGTTTGAGGTTTGTCATGTGCATCTGAATCGCATTGCAAGAGACCTCCCACAGAAATGCCAGGACCCCAAACATTGCCATTCCCCAGGGCAATTCAACAGCGACAACAAAGTCACAGTGGAAAGAGGCTAGGCAGAAGACTAACCAGCGCGCCCACATGTGGAGCGGCGAGTCAGCTGACAATCGATAACTCCTCTCGACGCATATGTATGCTCCAAGCCCCGTCACCAGGGGCCGCACGATGGCGTCACACAGCAACTGCCAGCGCACAGGCAGAGAATGGTACCTCCACATGAGCAAGTTTGCTGTGATGCGTGCGGCAGTATACACGACTGCAGCCACCTCGCCACGCCAGTTCCTCTACACTGCCCTGAGAACCTTAATTAAAATACTATGTTTAATATCCTCTTGGGATTTATAACAACAAAAATAGAAAAAGACTCCCAAGGGGGATATAGTCCTGGGAACAGCTCGCTTTTCCTTAGTTGCTGAGTTCATAAGCCCCCAAAAAAGTGTACACTTTTTGTTCTACGTTCTACTAGGGGATGATCGTACCCCAAGATGTGAAAAGTGTACTCACTCAGCAACTAAGTTTCAAGGTCGCAGAGGTCCCTGCTCATCTCTGCAAGCACTGACTTTCTGCCTGCCCTGGACCGTGGTGGCCACTGGCTGGGAGCCGGCAGAGCCCAGCTGCTGGGAATAAGGCCTCGCTCACGCCCCAAGCCCTAAGCCCGAAACCCTAAGCCCTAAACCCTAAGCCCTAAACCCGAAACCCTCAGCCCTAAACCCTAAACCCGAAACCCTAAGCCCTAAACCCCAAACCCTAAGCCCTAAACCCTAAACCCGAAACCCTGGTTCACAAGTTCTTCTGAGAGTCGGTCGCCTTGCAAGGTAAGCTCCACGCCCTGTGACATCGTTGCAAGGACTTAGAGCCCTGAAGCCCTGATGCCCGCCATCTGGGTTTAGGGTTTAGGGTTTAAAGGGTTTGGGGTTTAGGGTTTAGGGTTTAGGGTTGAGGGTTTCGGAAATTGAAGCGCAGGAGCCTCATGAATCTTGAATCCCCAGACAAACGGACGACGATCTACCCTAAACCGCGAATTCTAAACTACAGTGTAAGGGGCTTACAGGCTAGGATGGTCCTTAAAACCGTTTGAAACATATTCCTAAACAAAAATCCTCTTAAACCCAATATGGGAAAGTATGAAATGTCCCAAGGGCCTACCTAGTTGAGTTTATGCTTCTCATTCCAAGCCCTAAACCTTAAGCCCCAAAACCCTAAACCCGTGTAGGATGAGGGTCTTAGATCTTAGGGCTGCGGGCTCAAGGTTTTTCAGGGTCTAGGAAATCGGGAGTCATGGTTCAGGGTTTCAGGGTTTAGGAATTACGGGCTTAGGGCTTAGGGCTTGGGGTTTAGGGTTTGGGGTTTAAGTTTAGGGTTCAGGGTTGAGGTGCTCTTATACCCTCCTCGCTTCCATGGGCCTCTGAGTAAACTGAGCCTTGGTGCAGCTGCGTACGAGGCTATAAAGTTCAGTGAGCATTAGGGTTTAGGGTTTAGGGCGTTCTAGAGTTTTCGGGTTTAGGGCCACCTAGGTTCCCTTGAGCCCCGAGCCCAAATCAGGTTTCTCTACTTCAGGTGCGGTGTAGGGTGCAGACTTTAGGGCTGAACCCTGCACTCCAAACGCCAATGTTGAAGCCCAACGCCCTAAACCCCAAAACCCCAAAGCACTAAACCACGGAACCCTAAAATCTTCCATCCCAACCCTTTGCCAAGGTCCAGTTTTGAAGTGAGCTGTACAAATCCCAGGATGCCGTGACGTCTTCGGGAAGTACGTGGGCTTGGAGTTGGGGTTTGAAGTTTATGCAATCAGTATCTCGGATTTAGGGTTTAGGGTTTTAGAGTTTAGGGTTTAGGGTTTAGGGTTTAGAGTTTAGGGTTTAGGGTTTTAGGGTTTAGGGGTGGGACCCCTAGGCAACGGGAGCTCGGGGCTTCAGAAGCGTGGGAGTTCAAGTAGGAGGGGTTTAGGGCGAGGGTTTAGGGTTTAGGGGCTTTAGGGGGTTTAGAGGGTCTATAGGGGAATTTTGGGAGTGCGGGGTTTGGGGTTCAAGGTCTAGGGATGTAGGGTTTTGAGTTCAAGGTTTGAGGGTTTTGAGTTCAAGGCTTTGGAGTTCGGCTTCAGGCGCTGGTGGGGGCAGCTTCTGACAAGCACAGACAGCATCTCTGAGGAGTTTAGGGTTTAGGGTTTAGGGTTTAGCGTTTGGGGTGTAGGGTTTTGGGGTTTGGGCTGATCGGATGTTCCGTTCTGTTGGTGTTGCAGTTTCGTGGTACCCTAACCCCTAAACCCTAAACCCTAAACTGTTCCTAGGGCTTGATCCAAGCAAGCCAATTTTATGTTCCCGTGCCCCCTCGCAACGAGAAGTCCCTGTATTGGAAAACCCCAAGCCCTAAGCCCCAGCCCTAAACCCCAAACCTCCAATCCCAAAACCCGAAACCCCAAGACCCTAAACCCTAAACCCTAAGACCCTAGAAACCCTAAAGCCTAAGCCACAGCCCCCTTCTCCCCAAGGGGCAGACAACGCGCATGATAGCCCTGTATTGCAAACACTAACCTACACCCTGAACCCTAAACCCTAAACCCTAAACCCTAAACCCTGAACCCTAAACCCTAAACCCTAAACCCTAAACCCTGAACCCTAAACCCTAAACCCTAAACCCGAAACCCTAAACCTAAACCCTAAACCCTAAACCCCCAAACCCCATGGGTTGCCGGCTGCGTAGTGGAAGACGAAGACGCCCGCAGCCGCCAGGAGGAGGGCCTTTGCAGCGCCAGGAGGTTTGGGAGTTGGGAGGCTTCTAAGGGGTTTTTAAGGGATTTTTAAGGGTTGTTAGGTGTGAATAGGTGTCTTAGGATTTTCAGGGGTTTTAGGTTTTAGGTTTTTTAGGGTTTTTTAGGGTTTTAGGTCTTTTTACACGTCTTTTAGGGTTTTTAAGGGTTTTTAGGGGTTTAGGGTTTGAGGGTTTTGTGGGTTTTAGGGGTTGTAGGGGTTTTAGGGGTTAGGGTTTAAGGGGGGTTTAGGGGTTGGGCTGACGGGGCCTAAGGGGTTTGCAGTATCGTGGTCATAGGGTTTAGGGGCTCAAGAGTTGTTCTGCAGCCCAGCGGAAACTCACATGCTATGCAGGCGGTGGCACGGAGCATTGATGCTCCTTATGTCCGGACCGCTCACCAAACATGACCGGGCGGAAGCACAATCCTGTACAGTTGGGACTGCGGTCAGGATCGTTGACGCTCGCGGAGTTTGAGGTGGACCACGGCGTCGGCGGGCGGCTGCAAGCGGGACTGCAACCAGCGCGGAATCTCATCGGCGTGCATGCAGAAGAGGTCAGCGTATGGCCACCAAGCCGGGCGGACATCGGTGGCGGGTGCCGCGGACAAGGCAATCTGGAAATCTCAGCCGTCGCCGGTGCTCCACGGGCGTAGGGAGTTTAGGGGTTAGGGTTTGGGGTTAGGGGTTTTCGCCGAGGGTCGGCCCCAGGCGTGTTAGACTTTACGGTCGGGTCTATGGTGTAGTAGGGCTGCAAGAGATACCGGTGCCTGGCGTTCCCCCGCAACCTTGAGCAACAAGGATACCCTTGTACACAGAAATAAGGGTGCTAAGTGCCATAAAACGATGAACCCCTCAAAAGGAAAGACAAGCACGGAAGAAGGACGCCCTAAGCCCAAAACCCTGAACCCCCTGCGCCCACAAAAGGAATAAGAACATGCACAGCGCAAAGCCCCAAAACCCCAGACCGTGCCTAAACCCTTTTTCAAAAGGAACCCTACACCCTAAAACCCCAAACCGTAAACCTCCACACTCCGAAGCCTTGAACCTAAAAAAAACCTTAAACCCTAAACCCAAAGCCCAAAACCCTAAACCCTAAATCCTAAACCCTAAACCCTAAACCCTCAACCAGCAAAAAGACTCTCAGAAGCGAGCGCCGAGAAAGCTAAAGACCGCGAGCTGCGCCTCAGGAAAGGGGCCCAGGGTTCCTTAAGTTCCCAGGGTTTAGGGTTTAGGGTTTGGGGTTTAGGGAGGAGGGTTTGGGGTTTAGGGTTTGGGGTTTGGGGTTTAGGGTTAGGGGGCCTAGGGTTCTGAGGGTTCTTAGGGTTGCCAGGGTTGCTAGGGTTCCTAGGGTTCTTAGGCTTCTCAGGGTTCTTAGGGTTCTGAGCAGTGCGCGTGCAAACGGGGACCGCTAAGTGATTTCTGCCACTTGCCCCGCTTGCCCCACTTGCTGTGCTCCCTTACCGAAAACCACTTTGCCCCACTTGCCCCACTTGCCCCACTTGCCCCACTTGCCCTGCCTTAACCGCTAAGTGATTTCTGCCACTTGCCCCGCTTGCCCCACTTGCCCCACTTGCCCCACTTGCCCACTCGCCCCCCTCCTACCCCAGCCCACCCTGCAAGTGGGGCGTGGGGCAAGCGGGGCAAGCGCGGCAAGTGGGGCAAGTGGGGCAAGTGGGGCAAGTGGGGCAAGTGGGGCA